TCACAGCTCACAGCAACCTCCAACTCCTGGGCTTAAGCGATTCTTTTGCCTCAGCCTCCCCAGTAGCTGGGACTACAGGCACCCGCCACAACACCCAGCCATTTTTTTGTTCCAATTAATTAGCTGGCCTGGGCCAGGTTCGGAGCCGCCACCTTCGGTGTATGTGGCTGGTGCCATAACCACTGTGCTATGGGTGCCAAGCCACTGGATTGTTTTTTAAATTAAAAAAAATTTTTTTTGGTAGAGATAGGGGTCTCAGTATGTTGAACTCCTGGCCTTGAGCAATTCTCTGGCCTCCCAAAGTGCTGTGAGCATAGGTATGAGCTATCATACCTGGCCTTTTCTGGATTATTTTCATGCAAATCCCAGACATCATAAAAATTTCTCCCTAAATATTACTTTTCATGCTAAAAACAAGGCCTTTAAAGGGAACTATATCTGGCCGGCACAGTGCCTCATGCCTATAATCCTAGCACTCTGGGAGGCAGAGGTGGGTGGATTGTTTGAGTTCAGGAGTTTGAGACCAGCCTGAGCAAGAGCAAGACCTTGTCTCTACTAAAAATAGAAAAATAAGCTGGGCTTTGTGGCCAGTGCCTGTAGTGTCAGCTACTTGGGAGGCTGAGGCAGGAGAATCGCCTGAACCCAGGAGTTTGAGGTTGCTGTGAACTATGATGCCTGAGCAACAGACTGAGATTCTGTCTCAAAAAGAGAGAGAGAGAGAGAGGGAGGGAGGGAGAGAGAAAGAGAAAAGAAAGAAAGAAAAAGAAAAATGAGCTAGTGTTTTAGCAGCCATCTGTTGTCCCAGCTACTCTGGAGGCTAAAACAGAAGAATCAATTGAGCCCAAGAGTTTGAGGCTGCATCAAGCTATGATAATGCCTAGTTTGGGTGACAGAGTAAGATTCTGTCTCAAAAAAACAAAACAAAAGGGCCAGGCATAGTGGTTTACACCTGTAATCCCAGCACTTGGGAGGCCAAAGCGGGTGGATAGCCTGAGTTTGTAGCTTCAAGACCAGCCTGAGCCAGAGAGAGACCCCATCTCTAAAAATAACCGGGTGTTGTGGTAGGCATCTGTAGTCCCAGCTACTTGGGAGGCTGAGGCAAGAGAATTGCTTAAGCCCAAGAGTTTGAGGTTGCTATGAGCTATGATGCACTGCACTCAATCAAGGGTGACCAAAAAAACAAAAACAAAAAATCTCCACCTCTGCTGTACTTTTAGTTAGTGCCTTCTTTTTTTGGAGACAGAGTCTCACTTTGACACCCTCAGTAGAGTGCTATGGCATCATAGTTCACAGCAACCTCAAACTCTTTGGGCTCAAGTGATCTTCTTGCCTCAGCCTCCCAAGTAGTGAGTAGTGGGACTACAGGCTCTCACCAAAATGCCTTGCTGTTTTTTTTTTTTTTTTTTGAGACGGAGCCTCAAGCTATCCCCCTGGGTAGAGTGCCATGGCATCAC